GGTGCTGACAGGTGTGAGAAACCTCCCTGGAATGGAGGGGCTGGGCTGCTCACACACTTGCACCGGGGTGACAGGTGTGCCCCCACTGGTGTGACAAGTATCCACATGCAGGTGTGCCAGGTGTGCCCCACAGGTGTGACAGGTGCCTGTGTCCAGGTCTCACAGGTGTGCCCCACAGGTGTGACGGGTGCTTGTGTCCAGGTCTCACAGGTGTGCCCCACAGGTGTGACGGGTGCTTGTGTCCAGGTCTCACAGGTGTGCCCCACAGGTATGACAGGCTCCCATGCCCAGGTGTCCCAGCTGTGACACTTGTGCCAGGTGTGATAGGTATCCCAGCTTTCCATGCCCAGGTGTGTCCCAGGTGTGTTCCAGGTGTGACAGCTGTCTCAGGTGTGTCCCAGGTGTGACTCCAGGTGTGTCCTGTAGGTGTCCCGGGTGTGTCCCAGGTGTGTCCCAGGTGTCCCAGGTGTCCCCGCAGGTGTGACAGCTGTCCCAGGTGTGTCCCAGATTTCTCAGTTGTGACAGGTGCTCTGGGTGTGTCCCAGGTGTGTTCCAGATGTGTCCCAGGTGTGACTCCAGGTGTGTCCCAGGTGTCTCAGGTGTGACAGGTGTCCGAGGTGTGTCCCAGGTGCCCATGCAGGTGTGACTCCAGGTGTGTCTCAGGTGTGTCCCAGGTGTCTCAGGTGTGTCCCAGGTGCCCATGCAGGTGTGACTCCAGGTGTGACTCCAGGTGTGACTCTAGGTGTCTCAGGTGTGACAGGTGTCCCAGGTGTATCTCAGATGTCTCAGGTGTGTCCCAGGTGTGTCCCCAGGTGTCTCAGGAGTGTCCCTGTAGGTGTGACATGTGTCCCAGGTGTCCCAGGTGTGAATCCAGGTGTGTCCCAGGTGTGACTCCAGGTGTGTCACAGGTGTAACTCCAGGTGTCTCAGGTGTGTCCCAGGTGTGACTGCAGGTGTCCCCCAGGTACTGCCGTTTGCACAGGTGGAACACACTGTTTGTGTGTGGCACTGACAAGCACGGCACAGCCAGGTTTCTGTGCCCAGGTGTGCCAGGTGTCCCTGCAGGTGTGACAGCTGTCCCAGGTGTGTCCCAGGTGTGACTCCAGGTGTGTCCTGTAGGTGTCCCGGGTGTGTCCCACGTGTGTCCCAGGTGTTCCAGGTGTGTCTCCAAGTGTGTCCTGGGTGTGTCCCAGGTGTGACTCCAGGTGTGTTCCAGGTGTGACTCCAGGTGTGTCCCTGTAGGTATGACATGTGTCCCAGGTGTCCCAGGTGTATCTCAGATGTCTCAGGTGTGTCCCAGGAGTGTCCCTGTAGGTGTGACATGTGTCCCAGGTGTGTCCCAGATGTCTCAGGTGTGACTCCAGCTGTGTCCCAGGTGTGACTGCAGGTGTGTCCCAGGTGTCTCAGGTGTGACTGCAGGTGTGTCTCAGGTGTGACTCCAGGTGTGTCCCAGATGTCCCAGGTGTCCCAGGTGTGTCCCAGGTGTGACAGCTGTCCCAGGTGTGACTCCAGGTGTGTCCCAGGTGTGTCTCAGGTGTGACTCCAGGTGTGTCCCGGGTGTCCCAGGTGTGACTCCAGGTGTGACTCCCCCCAGGTACTGCTGTTTGCGGGGGTGGAACACGCTGTTCATCTGCGGCACGGGCGAGTACGGCACGGCCACGTTCCCATGCCCAGGTGTTCCCACAGGTGTGACAGGTGTCTCAGGTGTGACAGGTGTCACAGGTGTGTCCCAGGTGTATCTCAGGTGTCACAGGTGTGACTCCAGGTGTGACTCCAGGTGTGACTCCAGGTGTGACTCCAGGTGTGTCCCAGGTGTTCCCGCAGGTGTGACAGGTGTCTCAGGTGTGTCCCAGGTGTATCTCAGGTGTCCCAGGTGTGACTCCAGGTGTGTACCAGATGTCCCGGGTGTGTCCCAGGTTGTCTCAGGTGTGACTCCAGGTGTGTCCCAGGTGTATCTCAGGTGTGTCCCAGGTGTGTCCCAGGTGTGTCCCAGATGTCTCAGGTGTGTCCCGGGTGTGACTCCAGGTGTGTCTCAGGTGTGACTGCAGGTGTCTCAGGTGTGACAGGTGTCCCAGGTGTGACTCCAGATGTGTCCCGGGTGTGTCCCAGGTGTGACTCCAGGTGTGTCTCTCCCCAGGTACTGCCGTTTGCGGGGCTGGAACACGCTGTTCATCTGCGGCACGGACGAGTACGGCACGGCCACAGAGACACGGGCGCTGCAGGAGGGGCTGAGCCCGCGGCAGCTCTGCGATCGCTACCACGCCCTGCACGCCGACATCTACTCCTGGTTCCGCATCGCCTTCGACCACTTCGGCCGCACCACCACGCCCCAGCAGACCAGGTGAGCGCTGCCCTGCAGGCCAGGTGAGCCCCAGCAGACCAGGTGAGGCCAGGTGAGCCCCAGCAGACCAGGTGAGTCCAGGTGAGCAGGCCAGGTGAGCCCCAGCAGACCAGGTGAGTCCAGGTGAGCAGGCCAGGTGAGCCCCAGCAGACCAGGTGAGCGCCGCCCTGCCGGCCAGGTGAGCCCCAGGTGAGCCCCAGCAGACCAGGTGAGCCCCAGGTGAGCCCCTGTGGGCCAGGTGAGCCCCACCCTGCTGGCCAGGTGAGCCCCACCCTGCTGGCCAGGTGAGCCCCAGGTGAGCCCCAACAGACCAGGTGAGCCCTGCCCTGCCGGTCAGGTGAGCCCCTGTGGGCCAGGTGAGCCCCAATCTGCCAGCCAGGTGAGCCCCAGGTGAGCCCCAGCAGACCAGGTGAGCCCCTGTGGGCCAGGTGAGCCCCGATCTGCCAGCCAGGTGAGCCCCAGGTGAGTCCCTGCGGGCCAGGTGAGCCCCAGGTGAACCCCAGCAGACCAGGTGAGCACCGCCCTGCCGGCCAGGTGAGCCCCAGGTGAGCCCCAGGTGAGCCTCAGGTGAGCCCCAGCAGACCAGGTGAGCCCCGATCTGCCAGCCAGGTGAGCCCCAGGTGAACCCCTGTGGGCCAGGTGAGCTCCTGTGAGCCAGGTGAGCCCCGATCTGCCAGCCAGGTGAGCTCCAGGTGAGCCCCAGGTGAACCCCTGCAGACCAGGTGAGCTCCAGGTGAGTCCCAGCAGCCCAGGTGTGAGGAATCCCAGGTGTGAAGAGTCCCGAGGTGTGAGGGGTCCCCAGATGTGAAGGGTCCCAGGTGTGTCTCAGCAGTCCAGGTGAGCTCCAGGTGAGCTCCTCCATGCCAGGTGAGCCCCAGGTGAGCCCCAGCAGACCAGGTGTGAGGGGTCCCTAGATGTGAAGGGTCCCAGGTGTGACAGGTCCCAGGTGTGACAGGTCCCAGGTGTGAGGGTTTCCCAGTCCAGGTGAGCCCCAGGTGAGCCCCCGCGGCCCAGGTGAGCCCCTGTGGGCCAGGTGTGAGGGGTCCCTAGATGTGAAGGGTCCCAGGTGTGACAGGTCTCAGTCCAGGTGAGCCCCAGCAGCCCAGGTGTGACAGGTCCCAGGTGTGAGGGTTTCCCAGGTGTAACAGGTCCCAGCCCAGGTGAGCCCCAGGTGAGCCCCAGCAGACCAGGTGTGAGGGTTTCCCAGGTGTGAGGAGTCCCAGGTGTGTGGGTTCCCCAGGTGTGAGGGTTTCCCAGGTGTAACAGGTCCCAGTCCAGGTGAGCCCCAGGTGAGCCCCTGCAGCCCAGGTGTGAGGGTTTCCCAGGTGTGAGGAATTCCCAGGTGTGAGGGGTCCCCAGGTGTGAGTTCCCCAGGTGTAACAGGTCCCAGTCCAGGTGAGCCCCTGTGGGCCAGGTGAGCTCCAGGTGAGCCCCAGCAGCCCAGGTGTGACAGGCCCCAGGTGTGAGGGGTCCCCAGGTGTGAGGAGTCCCAGGTGTAACAGGTCCCAGTCCAGGTGAGCCCCTGTGGGCCAGGTGAGCCCCTGTGGGCCAGGTGAGCTCCAGGTGAGCCCCAGGAGCCCAGGTGTGACAGGTCCCAGGTGTGAGGAGTCTCAGGTATGAGGGTTTCCCAGGTGTGAGGGTTCCCCAGGTGTGAGGGTCCCCAGGTGTGAGTGTTCCCCAGATGTCTGGGTTCCCCAGGTGTGAGTGTTCCCCAGGTGTAACAGCTCCCAGTCCAGGTGAGCCCCAGGTGAGCCCCAGCAGACCAGATGTGAGGGTTTCCCAGGTGTGTGGGTTCCCCAGGTGTGACAGGTCCCAGATGTGTGGGTTCCCCAGGTGTGAGTGTTCCCCAGGTGTGAGGGTTCCCCAGGTGTGAGGGTCCCCAGGTGTGAGTCTTCCCCAGGTGTAACAGCTCCCAGTCCAGGTGAGTCCCTGTGGGCCAGGTGTGAGGGTTTCCCAGGTGAGCCCCACAGCCCAGGTGTGAGGGTTCCCCAGCTGTGAGCGTTCCCCAGGTGTAACAGCTCCCAGCCCAGGTGAGCCCCACCTGCCCAGACATCACCTGTGTCCCCGTCCCTTTTCCCCGCCCAGGATCGCCCAGGACATTTTCCAGCGGCTGCTGGCGCGGGGGTTCCTGCTGCAGGACACGCTGGAGCAGCTGCGCTGCGACGCCTGCGGCCGGTACCTGGCCGACCGCTTCGTGGAGGGCACCTGCCCCTTCTGCGGCTACGGCGAGGCCCGCGGCGACCAGTGCGACCAGTGCGGCAAGCTCATCAACGCCGTGGAGCTGCGGGTGGGCAGGGGGCCCGGGGAGCCTCAAAACCCCTTTGGGAACCACAAATCCCCCTTTGGGACCCCCAAAACCCCTTTGTGGAACCACAAATCCCCCTTTGGGACCCTCAAATCCCTCTTTGGGACCCCCAAACCCC